AACTGACACACAATTAGCAAGAAAAAGGTTAACAGTTAACTGATGGATGTGAGTTTATATTGTTTAAATAACCCTTAAAACTGGCAAAATGCTGTGGCAATATTTCTGAAAAGACTTTAACCAAATTGAATTGAAAATTTTTCTCATGTTTCAAAAAATGGTATAAAAAACTTTATAACCTAATAATCTGTAGCAGGGGTTCCCAACCTTTTACCTCTTTTCGTATCGTAATACCTCCACGGTCCTCCTTACAGTGGTTCAAAATTTGCATTTTGTGTTCACAATTCACTGGAGCCTTAATTGTTCACTCAATTTAATTATTTTTTTTAATCAAAGCTAATAAATTTTACAAGAGACCAACTTAGCCCAATTTTTGAATTTTTGTTTGTTTGTATTAAATTTTTTAGTGCAAAATGGAGAAAAAGTAGCAATTTTGAAAAAATCGATTCTCCTGTTCCAGTTCGTAAATAAACACTAGTTGAAATTGTAGGGTTCTCCCAAAACAAAAACAAAAATCCGATATAGTTATCACTTCTACCATTTTTTCAAATTATTGTTGCTTTTCCACAATAAGTTTTNGGCCTCAAGCTCAATAAAAATTGGTGAAAAAAATAAATAAATGTAAAAAAATGTTCACCAAATTATTAACCGACTTCCCAAAAAGGAGGAGGTTATCAGTTCGTCGGAATATTTTTTTTATTTTTTTTTTTATGTATGTTACCGCATAACTTTGCACCACGTCAACACCGATTTCAATAATTCTTTTTACAACGGAAAGGTAGTGTCTCAGAGGTGGACCCATACTAATTTGGTTTAGATCCGATCATTGGATCATGAAATATATGGATCATGAAATATATAGATATATATATATATTTTTTTTTAAGTCGGTTTTTTTTTGATAAAAATTACTTGTTATTTTTTTATACCCGACCGCACTTGTGCACAAGTCTATTATAACTTTGTTCACATAACGGTTGTTTGTAACAGGCAAAACGAATCGCGATAGATATAAATAAATGATCAGAATGAAAAGAGAAATCGATTAAGCGGTGACTGTCTGTCCGTCCGCCTGTGCACACCATAACTCGAGTAAAAATTGAGATATCTTAACGAAACTTGGTACGTGAACTTCTTTNACTCGAGTAAAAATTGAGATATCTTAACGAAACTTGGTGCGTGCACTTCTTTCGGGTGTAGGACGGATGGTATTGAAAATGGGAAAAATCGGACAATAGCCACGCGTACCTCCCATATAACGGTAATTTTTAGAAATACGAAAACTGCGACATTTTAGTAACTACTGAAGATTATTCACTCAAAATTGATATTTTCAATAATTTTTAGACGAAAAATAAGAATATTATAAATTTTTGGAAAATGGGCGTAGCCACCCCCACTTATGGTTACATGTGTATATCTTGGTAACCGCTGAACCAATTTCTTCCAAACTTGGCACAGTTGTTGGCCTTGGTGCAGCAATTTTAAAAATCGGGCAATAACCACGCACACATCCCATATAACGGTAATTTAGAGAAATACGAAATATTCGATAAACCAGTAAATATTAAAGATAATTTATTACATTTGTGATAGAATTTTGGGAAATAGGTGTGGCACCGCCCACTTATGATTAAATATCGACGTTTAAAGTACAAACCGCGTATCAACAAAATGCAAAACCGCGTATGTGAATTATGTCAATTATTTTCTAGAGAGTAAAAACACTCATATTTCAAAATGGTTCTCTTTTTTATCAAGCAATCGCATTTGTGGCTAGTATATTTCAGTACGAATGGATAAGGATTGAGCCAAGAGCTTTTGTGAGCAAATCCAATTTTTGGCAGCAAATGTCAGTTACGGTTTTGCAGAATGACGATACGCGGTTTTGTACTTTAAACGACGATATATGTATCTCGGTAACCGTTCTACCAATTTGTACCAAACTCGGTATGGTTATTGTGCTTGCCACATAAAAGCAAACCGTTGACAATTATTCAAATCGGACTAAAATTACGACCGCTTTTCATATAATTTCAGAAATGCTTGAAACTTCAATATTTCGAAATTTAAGGGCGCTAATTTACTAAAAATTTATACTAAAAACAATCCCTTGAAAAGAAGTAACATTGTTTGGAATTTTGGAAAACGGGCGTGATATCGCCCACATGACTATATAAGTTTATCTCTTTATGTCTAATGTTCTATCAAAGATGTTTAAAATAGGGGTAAAACCCCCCGTCTTACCATGTAGCGTAAGTTTTCGGAAAGGTGGAAAACATATATTTAATACTTGTTCCTTTTTGGTTTTATTAAAGTTCTGGTTATGCAGTTTTATAGAATATTAAATTTTAATATAATAAAGTGCAAGTTGCAAGTGGCAAAGAGTTTGCGATGATTATCAATAAGAAAACGCTTTTATTTCCCATATAGCATGCAGATATGCTCGAAATGTTAAGCAGCGTTTGCATTGTTCAACTTTTTCGTTCAACCTTTTGTTGAATGCGAGAGTTGAACTGTGTAAACGGCCTTTCAACAAATCGCTTTCAATGAAGTTGATGGGCAGCTACTTTCGTTCAACTTTTGAACAGTGCAAACACGGGTTTAGCGAAAAAAATTATTACAAATCAACGCAACCTCTAAGACACTTGCAAATTGCACTTTTTGTTCTAAAGTTTATTGATCTATAAAACTGCATGCCCAACATTTTTCTAGAAACTCCAAATTTTGTTTTTAATTTTGGTAAACTTTTTTTTATATCTAATACTTAAAATTTTCCTTGTGAAACTTTTTTTTTTCTTTTTGAGGGAACCTTACAATTGTTTTCAACTCGTATTTATTATGTAACATTCATTAATTAACAGAATAATCGATTTTCTTCAAAATTGCTATTTTTATACTTTTTCTGCACTTTGCACTAAAAAATGTAATACAAACAAAAAAAAATTCAAAAAGCGGGCTCAACTAGTATCTTGCAAATTTTATTATTTATATATTATTATTTTGAACCATTGTACATCGGTCCATGGTAAAGTAAAAAACCTAAATTTGTATCGCGTCCCTTCATTATTTATATTTAATTTACCATAAAATATTAGAAATATATATACAATAGACTGGCCCTTAAATCTGAATTTCAAACCGCCGGGCAGAAAAAGTTTCCTTTTAGAATTAATGCTTGCAATATGCAATTTGGTGGCGATCGGATAATATTTAGAGGCCGCGCAAAGCCGGGGAAGTGCTAAAGTGCGTGAAATATATGAAAAATAGGTGGTTTTATATATATATATAATGCCTGATTTGCATTGAAATTTCCTATTTAGGAAGCTATCAAAGTCCAAAATCAGTTGAAAATGGAGAATGTTGTAGAAATAATATTAGGCAGTCAAATTCATACAGTTTGGATGTGATTACACCGTGCGACAAAAACCAAAAAATTTCAAAACACACGATACAATCAATATACTCACGAAGCTATGGGCCAGATTTAGTGAAACTGCGTTTTAAGTTTTTCATTCCGACGTCCGGATTTTTTTTAAAGGACTGTCAAAAATATGGTTAATCCAAAAAAATTATTTTAAATGCAATGTGGAATACTAATATCGCACATCTAGATCTACTCAGAGAAATTTTCGTTTTCAAATTTGTATGGAACGTTTCACTTTTAAGAACGTTTTGACCCAGGTTTTGCACCTACAATATTTATTTAAATTTTGAGAACGAAAATTTTCAATTCAATTTCCAATATCCATGTTTCTGTTTTTGATACGCACATTTTCAAATCGTTTTTAAAAACGATTGTTTGATAACACAGTGCTACAAAAAAAACAAAATTGAATACACTTTTGAAGCGACCTAGTAGAGATTGTTCATCTGGTCGAGTTCCCTTCCCTGGTCCCTTCAAAGGATTTGTAACACCCCCAAAATCTGGATTTAAGGCCAAAAAACCGTTTTTTCAGAGTTTTCGTTGAAAAAAAAAATCATTAAAAATCTTATTTTCAACCGTTTTTTAAATTCTCAACGGTTTTGGGCAGAGAACTGTTGACACTTTCGAAATATATACAGTGTTTTGTTCATTTGAGAGGGGTATGAGATGTTTTTCACGCGAGAAGTTGAATTTTTTGAAAATTTTTTCGGTTTTTCCGGTTTCGACGTAATTTTTTTGCCACTAATTGACAATGAATGAACTTCTTTGGGCATGTGTCATCGAGAGGCATTCACTACTTAATTACACAAGTGTTTTTTTTTGGGAAAGGACTTCAAGTTTTCAAGATATGCAGCATAATCCAAAATCAAATTTTTTGGTCTCAAGCGCCCTACAGGGGTACTATGTATTAGAAGGCGGGTCGATTTGAAAATCACCCAAGTGACAAGGAAAATCGTATTTTAGGGATCAAAATAAGATACTTTGCCGAAGGAAGCATACCTCTAAAACCAATTCTGATGTCCCGACTTCGTACTTTTGACCTTGAGCGCCAAAGCTTGAAAAATCCTAAGTTGACCCATTTAGAGTGCCCCAATCGTATTTAAATGTATGACCGACCCCCACTAACTTTGTAGGGCCGACCCACCCATGCCAGTGGAACCCCCCCTAAGACCCCACCTGTGGGGTTCCCCATACAAAAATTTCACAAAAACCCCCATTTTTAGCATTTTACATGAAAAAATCATTGCACGACAGCCAGTTATCTTTTTAACTCAATGTTAATTTGAAAAGTTGTCTAAACCGTACGAGTTTCAGCCTTCATTTAATGTTAACTCTAAGTCAAAAATATAAATTTGGCTGCGCAAGTGAACCTTTAGATAGCAAACAGTCGTTTTTAGCGATAGTTAGATTGATAACATATATATTTTTCATAAAATTTTGCACTCATTAGAACACTTTATACAAAACAATGGGAAATGTTTAACAATGGTTAAGATGTTAGCTAATTACTTTTGGAAGCTTATGTAGAAATGGGATGCAAAATGTCAATCAAGATAAAAAAAAAAAACCACTTTAAGATGCTCGCTAACTACATACCTCAACCAATTCGAATTAAAAATGTTTCCTGGATCTTTTGCGCTTATAATACAGGTCGTCGGTTTCACGTTTGAGCGACCAGCAGTAATTAGCGATCATCTTAACGTGGTTTTTTCCAGCAAAGCGCTTTTCTATTGCCGAGATTTCCTGGTGAAATCGTTCACCTTGCTCGTCGCTAAACTGACCCAGATTATCCGGGAAGAAATCCAAGTGAGAGTGCAAAAAATGTATCTTGATTGACATTTTGCATCCCATTTCTCCATAAGCTTCCAAAAACTCTTGAACCACTTCCTTATAATTAGAACTTCTTTCATTTCCAAGATAGTTATGACATAAAGAGATAAAACTCAGCCATGCTCTCTTTTCTACTTCGTTCAGTTTTTCGACAAAATTCTCATCAATCATCAGCTTGCGAATCTGGGGTCCGATGAAAATGCCTGTAAAGTAAAGAATTAAAATGGTTGCAGATGCGTTTTCGAAAAAATTAATAGTCGGCAAATTCTTCGAAAGTAGGTACCTTCTTTTATTTTAGCATCACTTAGTTTGGGAAAAACTGTTTCCAGGTGCAGAAATGACTCGCTGTTTTTGTCGAGTCGTTTTACAAATTGTTTCATGTAGCCCAACTTTAGGTGCAATGGCGGCAAGATAATGTTATCAGGTTTTACTAATGGGATATTGAGAACATTTTTAATTCCAATTTGAAACCCCTTTCTCGGAGGCCACACGCTACACTTGTAAGGATCCTTGGCACGACTGTCCCATTCGCAGAAATAGCACGGATGCTTAGTGTAGCCTCCTTGCATTCCCAGAAGTATTGTCAGAACTTTGAGGTCTGAGACAATTTGCCATTGATGTTTATTGTAATTGATTAATCGTAAAATCTTTTCCATCGTTTGATACGTCTCTTTCATATCAGTAGCGTATGCTATTGGAACTGTTGGCAACTGATTCTCGTTGTGAATTAATACTACTTTCAGACCTACGAATTTCGTGAATTAAACGTAAATTTTTTAATATTGCTTAATTTTGGTTTTCTCACACTTATGATAAATAAAATACTTACTTTTGCAAGAACCGTCCAGAAATAATCGCCAATCTTTTGCGCAGTACACGTGATCGAAGGCAGCAAACAATCCATCCACATCAACACAATATACAAGTTTATTGTCTATATCATCAGCCTTAAAAACTTCTTCGAATGACGATAAGTCTAAGTTTCGTGTGAATGTCACTTTAAAGTCATCATCCACTACATTCCACTGCTTTATTCGTGAACCCAGGATCTCTGTTTCTCTATAAGACAGATTCAAATCTCGACTAAGATCACTATAATCTTGGCTAGATATAAAATGTCGTTCCTTTACTACTGCCCGATTTGGAACATACGACGAGTCCTCATTTTTTTCAATCGGGAACTCGCTGCAAGGGTCTGCTTGTCCGTTTGCAGTTGGCTCCCCTGTGTTTTCTTTCGGGGTTGGTCTCGATACAGTCAACACATTAGCATATTTTATGAGATTGCGAGTTTTGTAGTGATGGCCAACGGTATCTGTTTGGCAGAAGTAGCAATCTTTCGACTTGTGATACGGTTGATAATGCCAAGTCATGGGAGTCTCAAATAACAAATGCTGGTTATAACACTTACCGGATTTCACTTTCTTCAGTACTGCAGAGCACGTCGAGCAAACACTTTCGGGTTCATACCAAGCACTTTCAACGTATGAGAGTTTAAACAAGTCGTTGAAGGAGTGAACCACTGCTTGATTCTTTTTAAACTCCGAGCGATGTGGCTTGTCAACAAACAAGCCACACACGTAACAAAACCGGTTGCGTTTATCACACATTTCAATTTTTTTGGAGCGAATGATCCCGTGTAATTAATTACGCGAAGTTTATTAAGAATATGACGTTTTAGTGACTGCATTAATGACCAGATTCGCAATCTGACGATTGATGAAACAAGTAGAAAATACAGCTGAGTTTCATCTCTATGGGTAATAGCTATCTTGTAAATGAAGAAAGTTCAATATACAAGGAAGTGGTTCAAGAATTCTCGGAAACTAATTTAGAAATTGTATGCAAAATGTCCATCAAGATCCATTTTTGGCATTCTCATTTGGATAATCTTGGTCAGTCTAGCTACGAACTAGGTGGCCGATTTCATCAGCTTTACAGGAAAAAATTGTATTCATATCGGTATCGTTTCTCAGTTCAAAGTCAGAAATAATGCCATAAAAAAGGTTGCAGAAAACGCCCAAAGTCTCGAATTAGTAGTATATATTTACCAAACCCTCATTCTAAATCAAGTATATGATAAACATTAAAAATAAAAGTGCATTATTGCTCTGTTAAACGAAGATTAATTGGACAAACCGACATATCTCGACTTAGGTCATTATTGTTTGCGACCACTGATATATATGTTTTTAATCTAACTATCGCTAAAAATGACTATTTGTTACTTAAAAAACCATCAATGTCCTTAAACTTAACCAATTTCTTAACTTACGCACAGTACCCCTATAGGACGTTTGAGACCAAAACATGAAATTTTGGATTATGCTGCATAACTTGAAAACTTTAAGTCCTTTCCAAAAATAAAAAAGTGGTATAATTAAGTAATGAATGCCTCTCGATGACACATGCCCAAAGAGGTTCATTCATTGTCAATTAGTGGCAAAAAAATGACGTCGAAACCGGAAAACCGGATGAAATTTCCAAAAATTTCAACTTCTGGCTTAAAAAACATATCATACTTTTTTCAAATGAATAAAACACTATATATATTTCGAAAGTGTCAACAATTCTCTACCCAAAACCGTTGAGAATTTTGAAATCGGTTGAAAATTGGTTTTTTAATGAATTTTTTTTTAAGAAGAAACTGAAAAAACGGTTTTTTGGCCTTAAATCCAGATTTTGGGGGTGTTAGAAACTTTTTAATGGCCGTTTCGTGTATAACTCGACCAGATGAACAATCTCTGCTAGGTCGCTTCAAAAGTGTAAAATGGCTGTCGCACTGTGTAATTGAATATGCGCATGTTGAAATTAAATCCTAAAATGTTTTTTCCTCATTTTAAAAATATTCGATTTCAAATATGATATTAAAATTTTATTTTTATTAAATCACAACAATTCGTTTGGTACACACATTGTCATAAATATATTGATATACATATACTTATAAATAAGTTACAACATTTAATAAATGAAATACAGATGTTTTACATATTACTATATATGTACATACATAAATAAATACATACAGATGTTCCTGCCTTACTTCCAAGCTGGGCCTGCTAATTTTGCTTTACGCTGGTCAAATCCTGTAATTTAAATTAAGAAAGGTTTAAATTATTATTTAATAATCCATAAGTATTTGTTTTTGTAAGTTACTCGTACCAAAGCTTTTTTCGCCCAAAGAAGCCCACCAATGTCCCTTTTATGTAGTTAGGTAGTTAGAATGGCAGTATTGTATACTTCATTGCCTCTTCTGAAGATTGAAGTAACTTATTTATCTGAACACAATTTTTCCGACAATGATGCAAACATACATTTTTAAATTCCAATGCAAATCATTTTAGTTTTAAATATTTTTCATACTTAATTGACTGCAAATAAATTAACGTTTTTTATTTTAAAAATGTCTAGTTTTATTTTACTTGTTGAAAATTGTGTCGCACTACAGCTTGTTGGCTACAATATTCTAAAATGTTTCTTTTTAGTTTTGAAAATACGCATTTTTGGCGCTATTTCTTTAATGTCGTTTGTTCTCCTTAGTAAAAAAAGTGAATATATTATAACGATCGTTTTTGTTTTGCAAATGTTTCGTTTTAAAGACGTAAATACAAATACTGTATATTTTACAATTTCTTTTAAAAACTTGCGTTTTAATTGTATCATTTTATCTGTGTAAAGTGAGCAACTCAGAATTTATAGAGCGAAATTTAACTGCTTGTGGATCGTACAGATTCAACGCAATTAATACAAAAACAGGTATAACAGAACTTTTTTAGTTAATGTATATAATCATGAAGAAAAAAATATCTCCATTAGTTGGATGTAAGTCCTATGAATTGATTTATGCAAAAAAATCCCTCAAATTTTTATTTTGAGCTGATCGCACTTTAGTTCTAAAATTAAAATTAAAGTCTTTTGGTTCACAAGGACAAATAGGTTTTGAAAAGGTCCTTATAATAAATTTATTTTTTTATGCTAATAAAGTTAAAAGGGCGAAATTCGAGGATGTGCTTGTGTATATATTAGTCCTTAACAGGCAGAAGACAGGCTGGTGATCCGCTTCTTCTATAAAGTAGTCAAAGGCATCGTTATCTCACCTGAGATTTTAGCTCAATTTTCCTCCAATTGTCCGTGAGTGGGCCTCCGACTACTTGAAACTGCAAAGAACTACGTGTGGAACGGAGCCAGAAGCAGAATCGCTAAATTTGTTACCGAACACAGATGTACATTGAACTTTTTCGGTGGATCTTACAACCACTAAAAATTTAAAAGATCAAGTCCATACGAAGAAAACCCTCCTTTAAAAAAAGAAGATATAACGGATCCTACATGAATTCATGTTTTAAAGGTCGGAGGGCCAATATCAAATGCATATTTAAACGGCTCTTAAGTTAAATTTTGAAGTGCTATTTAAATGCCATTTAGCTTTCGTTGGGTTTCAGATCAACTTTATTTAAATATGCCAAACAAGTGGCAACGCTGCTACTTGCTCCTTGAAATTGTTGTTGCATTTGTTTGTTTGTTTTAGGGATGAAACGTTACCTTGTAGATATCTATACATTTACTTGGAAGTAGTATCGAAAGGAAGTATCGATACCTGAAAAATATCGGATCTAAAGTATCGATACCTACTCATATCGATACATTTGATTATGAAGGTATTTCTTATGGACTAAATAAGTCATTTTTTATGTCATAAATTAACTATTATCTGGGAATCCTAAATAGGGCTGTTCAGGATCTTGTGCATATGCTCTTGCATTTGCATATTCGTTGCATTTATAAATTCACAACAATAAAATGCACACGGTTTCCATGACAGCAAGCATAAAATTTGCAAATGCAAATCCAAACCATATCCTCAACATCCTGAACAGCCCTTATATGTTTAATGGTGAATAGTATTTAACACACAATTCATTGGAAACGATTACGAGAAAGTAAATCTCGTTTAAAAAAATTTTGCTCATACAATTTTTCTGAGATTTCCAAAGATTTTGCCGCAGTGAAAATGGACTATTATATACAACAATTATGAGCCAAATATTTAAATACCCCCGAAAGTCTCAAAAATATCTCCTTATTACTTCCCCTGGTAGAATTCCGCATACAATAGAAGCATGGAAAGTACAGAAACAAAAAGATACGGATGTAATTTTACTGAAAGAAATTTTTAAAAACATTTAAAATAGAAAGATTTTTTACTATCTATATACCGCGAACTAAAATAATTTTTCTATTTGACATCTACTCTTCGAGAAATATTTCAGTTTTTTCCCCGAATTTTTTTAATCAGCTCATTGTACCCTACTATTTTTCCTCTTTGTTGATTTTCTTAAATAACTGAGCGAGAATCCCACTAGCTTTAGCATTACCCGATAGTCTTTCCAGCGAATGTATTTCTTTGCATTTTGCTCAAGGTCTTAATATGCTAATGAGCGTTAAAGCCGTAGAGTTACTCAGGGAGCTTTAAATCGCGTTGAAACGTCTCTACTGAAAATACGTCGCATTACATCGATTTTGGTGAAGCAATTAGAACGTGAATTCTTTGCACTATATCGATTTTGTCGCATTATCGCGATTTTTGCTGGCAATTAAGCAGCCATAAAGAACAAGGCGCTTCATATTCGGAATAACAGTGGAGGAGAAATTGCCGAAACCAAATTTTCCTTGGTATCGTGTTTATATACGAGTATTTGTTTTTCGATACCTACTCAGTACTTCGTTCAAAAGTATCGATACCAAAATTACTTGGTATCGATCGAAAAATATCGAGTATGTACTTGTATTTACTCGTATCGTTTCATCCCTAGTTTGTTTACATTTTGTACTAAACAGCTGATTGTTCTTTGGCACGATTGATAAAACAACCTACCTATCAATCTTGGTTGTTTGGTACAAGCACAGGGTTGCATATCTCATATTTAAATAGCCAATATTGACCATTTAAATGCAGATTAAATGTATGATTTGAAAATGAGTCGCTGAAGTTAATCAATCAACAAGCTCTAATTAAATAGGCCATCTGAAATTGGGCCAGCGAGTTATTATTGTTCTTATCTATTTTTATACTTTTCATGAGTAATTGTTTTTGAGTATAAATAAATAAATAACATAAATTTTTTTCAAAAATACTTATTGCAAACTTTAAAGGATAGGACTTTTTCGATTTCAAATTTTCGAATTTCAGAACATGGCTGATAAACTTTTTTAATTCTACAGAATTTCCTCTATAATATGATACCCATATTGTTATTCTACACTGCACTCAGTTTTTTTAATAATTATTTGAATTAATCAAATCTTTAAAATTTCAAAAAAGAAAAATCCTGACATCAGAGAGAAAAATTAAATTAGTTTCACTATTCTTGGCGCCTCGTTTCGCGAATATATTAATTTTTAACCGACTTCCAAAAAAGAAGGAGGTTATCAGTTCGTCGGAATATTTTTATACCCGAGCGCACTTGTGCACAAGGGTATTATAACTTTGTTTACATAACGGTTGTTTGTAACAGGCAAAACGAATCGAGATAGATATAGACAAATGTATACACAAATGATCAGAATGGAAAGAGAAATCGATTAAGCCGTGACTGTCTGTCCGTCCGTCCGTCCGTCTGAGCACACGATAACTTGAGTAAAAATTGAGATATTTTAACGAAACTTGGTGCGTGCACTTCTTTCGGGTGTAGGACGGATGGTATTGAAAATGGGCAAAATCGGACAATAACCACGCGTACCTCCCATACAACGGTAATTTTTAGAAATACGAAAACTGCGATATTTTAGTAACTACTGAATATTATTCACTCAAAATTGATATCTACAATAATTTTAAGACGAAAAATAAGAATATTATAAATTTTTGGAAAATGGGCGTAGCCACCCCTACTTATGGTTACATGTGTATATCTTGGTAACCGCTGCACCAATTTCTTCCAAACTTGGCACAGTTGTTGGCCTTGGTGCAGAATACCAATGGCTGAAAATTTTTCAAATCGGATAATAACCACGTCCACATCGCATATAAAGGTAATTTAGAGAAATACGAAATCTTCGATAAATCAGTAAATATTAAAACTTTTTTATTCAAAATTTCTTTTGCAACAATTCTTTACCAAGAAATACGTTTATGATAAAATTTTGGAAAACCGCCCACTTATGATCGCATATATGTATCTTGGTAACCGTTCTACCAATTTGTGCCAAATTCGGTATGTTATTGTGCTTGCCACATAAGAGCAAAACTTTGAAATTTATTAACTCGGACTTAAATTACGGCCGCTTTTCATATAACTGTAATTTTCAGAAATGCTTGAAACTTCAATATTTCGAAATTTAAGGACGCTAATTTACTCAAAATTGATACATCCCGGCTTACCATGTAGCGGTAGCTTTCGGAAAGGTGAAAAACATATGTTTAATACTTGCGCCGGGTATTTAATGTTCGAACTTAGTCAACCGATTTCGATAATTCGTTTTGCATAGTCCCATACTAATCTGGTTTAGATCCGATCATTGGATCATGATATATATACATATATATATTTATATGAGAATTGAATTGCTAAAAATTACTTGTTTGTGTATAAAATTGACTGTCAAACGATGTTAAAGTTGAGGAAATTGTTATGACAATCTATCAAAATGTACAAACATTTGCTGTTGTTAAGTAAGAATACAATATTAATGTCAATGTCTGAATTAAATGAGGATGTTTTTAGTCTTATTTTTTTCTTATCTTCTCTGAGGGTTTATT